GGGACACACATCAAAATTACTGCACTAATATTTTAGGTAATAGGTCAAGACAATTATATTTTCTGAGTGAATTTTTTTAGCATTTAGTAGCAACCCTTTTAATCTCTGATTATGCTTTTTGATTTAATGTCTGCTTTTCTTCTAACATGAATATTGCTACATTAGGTTTCTTTTGTTAATAATTATGAATATATTATATTCCAGCTCCTTACTTTCAACCTTTCTTTTTTATTTTTTATTTATTTATTTATTTTTATTTTGAGATAGCCTATCACCCAGGCTGTAGTACAGTGATGTGATATCGGCTCACTGTAACCTACACCTCCTGGGTTCAAGCGATTCTCCTGCTTCAGCCTCCTGAGTAGCTGGAATTACTGTTGTATACCATCACACCCAACTAATTTTTATACTTTATTAATAAAGACAGGGTTTCACCATTTTGGCCAGGCTTGTCTTGAACTCCTGACCTCAAGTGATCTGCCTACCTTGGCCTCCCAAAGCGCTGGAATTAGAGGTGTGACCAACTGCTCCTCTTCGTTTCAACCTTTCCATGTCATTGTTTTTTGAATTACAGTTTATTGAGATGTAATTTGTATACCATACAGTTCACTTTTTCAAAATATACCATTCAGTTTATTCAAAGTTTTGCAACCAACATTACTGCCTAATTTTAGAACAGTTTTTCATCACCTTGAAAGGAAGCTTTATACCCATTAGCAGTCACTGCCTATTTCCCACCTCTCCCTTTTCTGTGGTGACCACTAATCTATTTTCTGCTTCTATCGATTTGCCTGTTTTAGTCATCTTAGATGATATTATACTGTGGCCTTTTGTGTCTGGCTGTTCACTTTTCATCTGTATTATAGCATGTGTCAGTACTTCATCATTTTTAATGGCTGAATAGTATTTCATTATATGGATATACCACACTTTATTTATCCATTGGTGGACATTTGGGTTGTTTCTAATCTTTGGCTATTATAAAAAATGCCATTATGAACAGTCATGTACTGGTTCTGTCTGAGTGCCATTTGTTGAAAAGACTGTTCTTTGTTATTGAATTGTCATGGGACTCTTCCTAAAAATCAGTTGACCATGTATGTGAGAGTGTTTTTTGAACTCCCAATTCTATTCCATCCATCCATTCTTCTATTTTAATTCCAATACCATACTATCTTGATTACTGTAGCTTTGTCATAACTTTTGAAATCAGGAGATGTGACCAACTTCTTTTAGCCAAACCCTTTTAAATTGCCCCTTCTAAAGAAGAGTATATTGCCTCACTGCCTGCCTTTGGCTGAACTTTGTGACTTACTTTGGCCCATGGAATACGGTAGAAGTGACAGTGTGATAATTCCAACCCAGTCCTTAAGAGGCTTCGTGTATTTTTGTTCTTCGTTTGAGCCTCTAGACTAACCCAAATTTACCCAGTAGTCTTAGGAAAATGCAAGTCATGTAGGGCAGAACTACCTACATCAGCCAACCCTAGACCTATAGGAGAGCATTCCTAGCTGCTTCACTATGCATCAGAGATGCCCCACCAAACCAGGAGGAACCTTGACCAACCTGAAAACATAAGAAAAGAGGCCACCAGTTTCCATCAGAAAAGCCTAGGATATTCCATGAGAAGATGATCATGTACAAATTTCTTAACTCTTCTAAATTAATCATTTACAAACACTGTGCATGTCCATTGAGGATCAGCAGGGATTGAAACAATTGAAACTGAATCTCTACTTCATGGTCACTAAGGGAACCAGAGTCTCTACCACCTGCTAGCTACACTCTGGAGCTTGTAGCCTTTTCAGCTATCAACATGAGAGTCAAGGCTAAGAATCTACCCCGGATGTCAAGAAAGACTTTGGGCATAAGCAATGCTGGAGTGAAAAGGATCAACACTGGAGAGAAAAGGAGAAGAGGTAAACATAATGACGGTCTGGAAGTTGAATTGAATTTCATGGCAAAAGGGATTCAGGAAGTCATTCAGCTATCCGGATGTGAACCAACTAGAAGCAAGTGAACCAACTAGAAGCAAGTGTCTATTCTTTATATGGGTCATATTGTTGGATCCTATCTCATGGGAACTAATAGCTTAAAGTGGTTTTCAAACAAAAGTATGAAACTTGCAAATAGAGCAAATGAAAGTGCATAATGTAAACAAGATTTTAAATGGAAAGTACTTCATTCTTCAGGATACTGAAGGCAAAAATGTTTTCAAAAATGTTAACAGCAAATTTCTATAATAAATGTACTGAATAGACAGACATTATCTGTCTATCCAAGTATTAAAACTACCAATTTTTCTATCTATTGAAGTACATATTTTTAGACATAATAAAAATGAATTTTCCTTAAAAAAATTACTTGTGTTTCTCTTCTTTTGGTGATTATCCTTAATATGAACATGCTTAATTGGCTTAACCATTTAAATCTAATCACTGTCACTCTTCTCTTGAATAATTCAAGGTTCTGAAGATGCTTTCATGTTTGTCTAACCCCTTTTCCTCTTCAATTTAGTTATTTACTTTTGTAAATCCCCTTTGTTCTTTACTCCATTACCAATTAGTCTTTTTTTAGGTCAGTGTTTCTTTAGATTTACATAATGTTGAGCATTTACTTATCTTCACTTCTTTTTGATTTTTCTAGATTCAATCTTCTTCCTTCAAAGTACATTCTTTAGTAGCTCTTTCAGCGAAGTTCTTTTTAATTATCACTCTTTTGAAAAATATTGTTTTAAAAATTGTAATTTTTTTTCATAATAATGGAAATCAACAATCACAAAAAGCAGAAAAAATAGTATTGAACCTTTTCATACACCTCAGTCTCAGCAAACACACATGTATGGCTATCTTCTTGAATTATAGTTTTATTGGATACAGTTTAACTGAAGATATATTCCTGGATATTGTTTTGATATGGTATCTATTACAGCCTAATTGTCTTTCCTTTATAGTTGGCACCATGGGCTTTTACAAATTGACATGTTTGATTTTGGAAAATTCTTTTATTTTTTTCTTTTTTGAGAGGGAATATCACTCTGTTGCCCAGGCTGGAGTGCAGTGGCTTGAACCTCCCAGGTTCAAGCAATTCTCGTGCCTCAGCCTCCCATGTAGCTGGGATTACAGGTATGCGCCACCATGCCTAATTTTTTGTATTTTTAGCAGAGACTGGGTTTTGACATGTTGGCCAGGCTGGTCTCAAACTCTTGAACGCTGATAATCATCCACCTTTACCTCCCAAAGTGCTGGGATTACAGGCATTAGCCAACACGCCTGGCCTAATTCTGGAAGATTCTTTGGCATTATAACTTCAAATATTTATCTTCCATTTTGTTTCTATATTATTTTTATGGAACTCCTTTCAGAAGTATTCTCGACCTTATCATTCTGTTCCCCATGACTCTTAGCTGTTCTTCCAAAAAGTATTTTTTCTCTCACTGCTATAGATTTGGTGATTTCTTCAAGTCTACCTTCCAGAATATTCTTTCTTCAGTGTTTCTAATCAGTTTTTTAAGCCATCCATTGGATTTTAAATTCAACGACATGACTTTCTAGAAGTGTGATTGGGTTCTTTTTTTTGTTTTGTTTTGAGTTGGAGTTTCGCTCTTGTTGCCCAGGCTGGAGTGCAATGGCGTGATCTCAGCCCATCACAACCTCTGCCTCCTGGGTTCAGGTGATTCTCCTGCCTCAGCCTCCCGGGTAACTGGGATTACAGGCATGCGCCACCACACCTCGCTATATTTGGTTATTTTTTAAATTTCTTTCATAGCTCATAGATATCATAGAAACCTGAAGTTGGTCATTATAGTTTCTAACCCATTTTAACCCTTTAATAACTATATTTATTTTTAATTTGAGCTTATTGCTATAATACAAACACATGAAATGAAAATCATAAATATAAATAAAATTAGATGAATTTTTTAATAAAATGAGCATTCTTTTCTAACCAGCACCAGATCAATAAGCAAAATATTTCCAGAACCCCAGAAGTGTTCTCATGCCCTCTTCTAGTCACACTTCACACCTCCAGGGTAAATGCTATCCTGACTTGTAGGGCCACACTTTAGCTTTGCCTGTTTTTGAGTTTTATGTCAACTAAACTATACAGTGTAAATTATTTTATGGTTTTTTTTCTTCCGCAGATGATCTACACACTCTTAATCTTAATACTTACGAATTACGAAGACCCTGTATACATTTTCACATTAATTTCTTGGCTCTTTTACTTACTTTTGTCTTAGTGGATAAGTCTTGTTAATTATTTGATTGGGAAATCTCAGGAGACATGAAATTGGATTTCTCACTTTAATGGTATAGACCTAGTGTTTTCATTCTTTTAGGATTATTGCTTTTTTCCGTCTAATTCCCCATGTCAGACTGTGTACTACCATATTGCTTTTGTGTCCTGGTGAGTGAAGTTTTTCCTATTCTCTTGTTATGGTCAGAAAAAGTCCTTGAAATCCCTAGGCTTTATGGAACATTATTAGCATAGCTCTCAAACCAGTGTCACGCTCAAATCATGTCACTTGCCTTTGTCTAGACATGAAAAGCCCAGGTCAAAACTCCTTTGGTCCCTTATCTTGGTACAAATTTCTTTTGGGCCTTCACCACGACAGTTTCCATCTGTATATTAATAGCTTTACATTTCATATGCTTCTAGCATCGGATTTTGTTTTCTTTCTCTAAAGATTATATATGTGTGTACATCTTTAAGGTGTTTTTATTAGTATTTTTATGTGTTTGTGAAGTTATCTAAGGGGAAGTGAATAATATAGAAGGTAAGCATCCAAATCAGATCAGTTTGCCATTCCTGAAAAGTGATCAGATCCCTCCAATTGCAGTGACTATGCAGTGCTTGACTAGACTTAAAGATGTTTTTGGGGCTATGGGCCAGAGCGTTTCTTCTGGCCCAATTTCTTGAACTGCGTGGGACCCATTATTTTGCTGAGCTGATTTAGTCCCATATGAACTAATCATCTTTTTGTCTTTGTTTTATAGAAGCAGATTTCTAAAAATAATATTGAAAAGAGAAAGCCCAAATTTAGAAAAAGGAAAAGGTATGCTTTTAGAAATTAAATAATATTATGATAAAATTGAAATATATATTTGATTTAGTTATTGCATGACCTTTCTCACAGTGTTTGATTTTATTTCACTTGAAAAATACTGTGTTTACAGTTTTCTAAAAGAATTATAGAATTATGAGTAGTAAAATTTTTATATTTATGAAATATTTTGAGCTAGAACTTTTAAAGATTAACATCATATGAGCAATCAGGTGAGAATCAGGCTTTTAGTTTAAAAATAGGTAATGTAAACCAGAAACAGGTTTTCATAATGAACTGATAAGCCACAGATGACAAGTTTTAGAGTTTATCATTGAACCAGTCATTTTTTTAAAGAATGGAAATCAGTGCTGTGTTAGGAGGGATCCTTCTCAAAACAAGGACTGACACTTATAGGAAGCCATTTTCTTCTTCTTTGTACTTTTTCAGAAGATGAGTAACTACATTTTAAAAATGGACTTCCACTGCCTTATTTCATTACACTTCACAGTAACCCTATCAATAGTTAGGAAGTATATTATAATCTGCATTTTAAAAAATGAAGATTTCCTGTCTTGGAGAAGTCAGAGTGACATTCTCAAGATCTTAGGGTTAGACAAATTATATTTGAACAAATTTCTTCTGACTCTGTGATAAAAACATAGAATTGTGGAAACAGTATGGATTTTGCAGTCTGACAGAATTTAGTTCTGCCATATTCTACCATTTACGTAAGTTGTCAGATTTCTCATTTTTCTCTGATATCTCAAATTGTTTCTTTATATAATGACGGAAACAGCTTGTAGGTTTTTTTGGAGGAGATAATGAAAAAGCCTGTGTAAGGTGCTTGGTAAACTGTTACTGCTTTGCACATAGTGAGAGCTCAAAACAATATTAGTCTTTTTTTTTCACTGCACCATACCGTCTTACTACATAAAACAACCAAGAAAATTATTTTAAGATAAGAAAATATATATATTTAAAACCTACAGTTACCAATGAATATACATAAATGGTCATTTAAATATATAGAATTGATCTTTTGAAACTAAATCTGTCATTCTTTTTCTAGGAAAGCAACTTTAACATACTCTTTTGAAAATGTTTGTTATGATGATGCCTTATCAAAGGAAAACATGGGTATGTGAAGGCCTGTCCTGCTTTTGGTTCTTTAACCTATATATAATTCCACAAAATGTAGTTGTAGTCATTTGAAAGAAAAGAAAGATCTCTTTTATGTGTGTGTGTGTGTGTACATTTGCACACATATATACATGCGTGTATGTGTACACATATATGAGAAATATTAATGGATCATTTGTGTTATTGATTTAGATACTGAGGCTTTTAAATTTTCTTTAGGTTTCTATTTCCTTGAATTAAATTTTCTCTGTTTAAGTCATGTATTTAATTTTTTAAAATAATGCACCAGGCTGGGTGTGGTGGCTTAGCCCTGTAATCCTAGCACTTTGGGAGGTTGAGGCATACAGATAACTTGAGGTCAAGAGTTCAAGACAAGCCTGGTCAACATGGTGAAACCCATCTCTACTAAAAATACAAAAATTAGTTGGCCGTGGTTGCGTGTGACTATAGACCCAGCTACTCCAGAGGCTGAGGCAGGAGAATCACTTGAGCCTTGGAGGTATAGGTTGTAGTGAGCCGAGATTGGGCCACTGCATTCCACCTGGGTGACAGAGCAAGACTCCCTCCCAATAAATAAATAAAACATTAAAAAATTATACAATAACACACCAGCAGCTGTGGAAAGAAATACTAGCAACTATACATTTCAATCCAAACTTCTTCATTCCAAACTTACTGGGATCCTAAGAGAGCCAAAGAAAAAGAAGAAAGAAGAGCAGCAGCCTGGGACTTTCAACTAAATTGTCATTGGTTAGAACACAGTAGAGTGAATGTGGAATGCAGGGGGAAAGTTTTAGTTTTCAAAGGCAATTTCCTTTTTCTACATTTTCTTTAGTCTTGAAAAGCAGTCAGATGCTTATTTGCAATTTAGAACTTTAGCAGTCACGTTCAAAGCTCATTAAACCCTGAGGAGTTATCAGTGATATATTTATTCTCTTTTCCTTGAAGCCACTCCCAGGGCATCCTATGGCATTGCAATTCAATTGGCTAAATAAGTCAGTCATTGTAGTCTTATTAAAAGCAGGGAAAGCCAGGTGCAGTGGGCTCATGCCTGTAATCCTGGCACCTTGGGAAGTTGAGACGAGAGGATCCCTAGAGCCCAAGAGTTAAAGACCAGCCTTATTGACACAGTGAGACCTCGTCTCTACTAAAATAATAATAATAAAAAAATTAGCTGGGCATGGTGGCACATGCCTGTAGTCCTAGCTTCTGGGAAAGCTGAGGTGGGAGGATCTCCTGAGCCCAAGAGTTTGAGCTTGCAGTGACCTGTGATCACGCCATTGCACTCCAGCCTGGGTGACAGAAAGGATGAAGTAGTTATTTTTTAAAATCTCCTTGTTCTCCTAAACCACTACAAACTTCTGCTGTTTCTATCTCTTTTCAAACTTACTCTGTTCCTGTTTCCTTAGTGATTAAGGTGTTCTTTTTCTTGGCTATTTCATCCCTTTGTTTCACATCACCATTCATATGTTCCTGTAGAAAGGTAAAAGGCTGTTTACTGAGTTCCCACTAGGAGACCCTGGCACTGTGGCTGAGACCAGGATCCTTCTCCCCTCCAACTCACACAAGATACTACAGGAGAAATCCGCTGCAGCCCAGAGGCATCTATTGATTGGAAATGACTCTTCCTTGTAATAAATGAATATATCTTGGTAGTTATCCAGGTAAAGGAAGTCTCTTCAGGATTGTAACATTCGCTATGGCTCCAAAAGTCTCAAAAGTTAACTGTTAAAATAGTTAACCTGATATATGTTTTATTTCTCCATCCCATTGTGAACCAATAAAGATCAGGAACATCTACTCTACTATGTTCTTTGCTAGAGTTCATTCCCTTCCTAAAAGAGTGATTCTTTTTCAAGTTTCACTCTTCTCAAGTTTTTTATCCCCTATCTACCTTTCTATGGATCCCTCAATCTAAGCCTCTAATAGTTCCCATTTCTCCACAGCTTAAAGTAAGATCAGTCCTAGATCAAAGTATAGAAGAAAGTTATACCCTATTCTTGAATCTCTGTCCCACTTCTTAGACCCACTTTCCTTATACTCCCAGATGTTAAAGTTTCCACATTAGTCTTCTGCCCCAGATTTGCTGTTTCTTCAAGAGCTTTATGCTCCACTAATTGCTTATCTCTGTCTCTCTTAGTAAGCTTTTTTCTCCTTTTTTCCTGTGGAACCATGAGTCAATTAATCCTTTTTTCTTTATAAGCTGTTGAGTCTAAGGTACTTCTTAGCAATGGGAGAGTGGACTAATACAGCCCTCATCCCCTTTATCCCCAAAATGCCATGCCTCCTATTTCTTTTTGTGTCTCCGGGAATAGTACTCTTTTCTTTATTAAATTTCAACCTTTATTTTACTCATGTCTGCATTTAAGTTGTAAGCACACAGAGACATGTTTGTGGCTACTTTAAAGCAAAAGAAAACCCAAGTACTTTTTACTCCTCATCACCCTCCTCTTTTATTAAAATGCCTTTAGAATTTCAACATTGAGATAGCATTGAAAATTTATTTAGTATTTTTTTTTCAGTGCCAGCTTTGTAATAATCCAACCAGTAGCTACTATATAAGGGAATGTGTTCGTCTGTTTTTGCATTACTATAAAGAAATACCAAAGATAGGGTAATTTATAAGAGGTTTAATTGGCTCACAGTTCTGCAGGCCTTCTAAGAAGCATGGTGCTTCGCTTCTGGGAGACTTTCCAGGAGGCTTACAATTATGGCAGAAGGTAAAGGGGAGCAGGAATGTCACATGGCAAAAGCAGGGACAAAAGAGGAGAGAGTTGCCACATACTTTTAAACAGCCAGATCGCATGAGAACTCACTCATTATCCCAAGGACAGTACCAAGGAAATAGTACTAAATCATTCCTGAGAAATCTGCTTCCGTGATCTACTTACCTTCTACCAGGCCCTGCCTCCAACACTGTGTATTACAATTCAACATAAGATTTGGGCAGGGACACAGATCCAAACTCTATCAGGAGGAAACAGCGTCTTAAACATTTAATAGATAAGTTGAGGTGAAAGAAAACTCCATAAATATATATTTAAAGTTTTAAAATAATGACCGAGTTATTGAGACAAACCATGAGTTTTTTCTTATCAGAAATGGAAAAGCAACACTGATTTATTTTCTACAAAAGGTAGATATGGGGTTGGGCATGGTGGCTTGCGGCTATAATCCCAGCACTTTGGGAGGCTGAGGCGGGTGGATCACTTGAGGTTAAGAGTTTGAGACCAGCCTGGCTAACATGGTGAAACTTCATTTCTACTAAAAATATAAAAATTAGCCAGGCGTTGTGGCGGGTGCCTGTAATCCCAGTTACTTGGGAGGCTGAGGCAGGAGGATTGCTTGAACCTGGGAGGTGGATGTTGTGATGAGCTAAGATCACGTGAAACTGTACTCCAGCCTGGGCAACAGTCAAAAAAAAAAAAAAAAAGTAAGATATGGACTTCACTATTACAGACACATTTTTTAAAAAAAACTTTCTCTGAGTGATGGAGTAGCCATAATGCTACCACTTTACTCTCAGCAATAAATTGAAACAACTCAGAGAAGCTACAAGATAATCAGTATTGATAGAAGATGATTGGTTATGCAATAAGCAGAGACATTCATTTTGTCTGTGTCTTTAGAAGATATTATTGACCAATTTTGATAATATAGTTTGTAGATTACAGTAACTGCTATTTTTGAGAATTATTTTTTAACTTCATTTACAATATAGGAATACTTATTTAGAAAAGCACACCTCTCACTGCTCTGGAAGCAGAAGCTGACAGCAGTCAGGTTGGTGTTGTAAACCGTAGTTGACTTATGAAGTCATCCATTACTTTGTCTAATTTTGATCAAAAGGCAGTGTACATATTTCTTCAGATCACTTGAAAACAGCCTGCAATGCCACTTGGCAATGATTTTTATTATCAAAAATTGATTATATTTTAGCCTAACGTTAGAAATATAAAGATGTTTGTTTGCCATTTTTTCTTTTACAGCATAGCTTAAAATCTGTCTTCTCAACAGTGCATTAAATGTCATTGTCAATTTTCATAGACTTAGAATGTAAAGTAGGAAAACAACATTTGTGAGTGGAACTGGGGAATTAGTATGAAAATAACCATATGCAGTCATCTATTAAGTAACAGGTTACTAAATAAGAAATCTGTCTTAAAGAGGGTTTTCGTTTTATGAAAAGAAAAGTGCTTCAATAAAAAACATGCATTCCTCTAGAAAATCCTGATTTGATAGACATGGTGTTGTTATGTGTTTAAATAAACTCCCCAGGTGATTATTATGCCCAAAAATTTTTGGATACCAGTGTTTTAGAATTTAGCATTCTGTACTCGTGTTCTTAGGCCTTAGCAGTAACCCTAGAACAGAGATCTATGTGGATGCAAGTAACATGTTAATTACAGGTTTTGCTTGTTTTGTTTTTAAACATGAGAACTTTTTCTAAGATGTGGAGTGGCTTATTAGAAAGCTTCTTTCAAACTGTTTTGAAAGAGGTTTTCCATAGAGAAAACGTAAAATTGACTAGGTGGAGGTAATAGCTAGGAAGGCTTATTAGTCTATGCCTATTTTCTTGAGTTCCTGCCCCTTAGTAGGCAAACAGTATATATTTGTTGATTGAATATGACAGTGGCTCATGCCTATAATCCCGGCACTTTGGGAGGCCGAGGCAGGTGGATCACAAGTCAGATCAAGACCATCCTGGCCAACATGGTGAAACCTATTCTCCACTAAAATTATCAAATTATCCAGGTGTGGCAGCGTACACCTGTAGTTCCAGCTACTCGAGAGGCTGAAGCAGGAGAATTGCTTGAACTCGGGAGGTGGAGGCTGCAGTGAGCAGAGAACGTGCCACTGCACTCCAGCCTGGTGACAGAGCGAGACTCTGTGCCTCAAAAAAAGGCTCTGTCTCAAAAAAAAAAAAAAAAAAAAAAGAAATATATATATATATATATATATGAAAGTAATTGGGGAAAGCAATAAATATTGATAGAAAATTATTTTCAAGACAGACTTGTGTTTTGAAAAATAAAGTAGTTTTTCCGGTATTGTAATGACAACCAAGAAAGGGAAACTTTCTATTTCATAACCTGCCATGATTTTATTTAACATTATTTGATAGGCACTTTAGAAGAATTTTAAATTTTCCTACTTATGTCCTTCTTTGGTATATTTTCATGTTCCATGACGTTTCACCTGTTCTACTTGGTGTGATTTTTGCTGACTTGCCCATGAACTGCAGATAACAGAAGGTGCTATGCTAGATTTTAGTTACATGTAGAAGATGAAGGGATGTGTACTCACAGCCTTTCTCCATGAATTACATGGTCTTTGGAAGGGCTTCTCAGACACTCCATCTGCCTATGGTGTAGGACAGCAGGCCACATGTGGCCTCCTTTCTTTGAAGCAAAGGCTTCAGTAAACCCTATAGCAAATGAAAATGTTTGTTTTATTTAAGTCAAGAATTCAAATACATATTTTCAATCAATAGCAAAGTCTAGGCCGGGCACGGTGGCTCACGCCTGTAATCCTAGCACTTTGGGAGGCCCGAGGAGGGTGGATCACAAGGTCAGGAGATCAAGACCATCCTGCCCAACATGGTGAAACCCTGTCCTTACTAAAAATGCAAAAATTAGCTGGGTGGTGGGGTGTGTGCCTGTAGTCCCAGCTACTTGGGAGGCTGAGGCAGGAGAATCGCTTGGAGCCAGGAGGTGGAGTTTGCAGTGAGTGGAGATCATGCCACTGCACTCCAGCCTGGCGACAGAGCAAGGCCCCATCTCAAAAAAAAAAAAAAAAGTTAAGTCTTTAGTTATAGCAGGCTTTTATTTTTTTGGTGGGGATATTGTTTCATGTCAGCAAGATCAATGAATTACCAGATTTTTTTTTTCCTATTTATATATTTATGTCACAGTGGCACAAAAACACCTTTTATAAATGCAGTATTTTTTTTTAATCAGATTAGGCAATTAAGATGTGTTGCCATTTGGATTAGGAAGGCACTAGCCTGTGTTCAGCCTAGCCACTTAATTACAAAACTTTTTCTTTTAAATAGTAGTCTAATAGTCCATAGTAGAGGTTGGCAAACTGTGGTCACCAGCTGCTGACTGTTGTTGTAGATAAAGTTTTATTGGAACATAGCCACTCTCAATTGTTTATGTACATGTCAATGGTTTGTGCTACAATAACAGAATTGAGTAGTTGTCACAGACCATCTGGTTCGCAAAGCCTGATATATTGGCTCTCTGGTTCTTTAGAGAAAAATTTGCTGATGCCATTTCTATAAATAATATAATTTAGTTTGTTGCCCTTGGCCCGTAATTAAAAAAAAATTCTAGTAAGTTTTTGATATTTCACTTATACTTTATGGTTTATACATAGCAAGACTATCACTTACATTTTTCAAGGAAGAATTGTAAATGATTCACCTGGAAATTCATAATAACTTTCTATCAGGAGGAAGTCATGTATGAACACTATATGAAACATTTATATTTTACCTTTATTCTTCTTTGTGGGTGGTTAAGATTGTGAATTAGATTGAATTAAGTGAGATGTAGCATTTTTTACTGTATTAATCATGTTTTTTAGTTGTCTCTGAGACAGAAGTTTTACTAAAAGAGCTGGAGCAAATGCTACAGCAAGCACTGCAACCCACAACCACAGCTGAGGAGCCTGAAGAAGGACATGGAGAGGAAATAAATACTGGAGGAAAGGTAATATTGATAGTTATTTTCAGACCTAAATAACAACTCCAAATTCTTTAAACAGCAGAATTGTTCCTAGTTGTACATTTTAATATATAAACAACTATTTTCATGTCTGAAATTTGAGTCCTTGATTATCGTGAGGTGAATAATAAACTAGTAGCCTGTTGAGAAATCAAAACACATCTATCAGTATTTGAAAACAATCTGTGTTTAAGTAGAGGAGTTCTTTAAATTTTAAATCTTTAGGATTGGAGTGAAGAAAGATGGACGATGCTCGCTGTAGCTGAAGTAGGCCACTACAGAGAGAACTCCCCTTGCTGCCAATCTTTACAGTCAGAAGGGGCCAGGATAACAGGAGCTCACTGGAAAATCTGCCCTGTCTGGGTTATGCACCAAGATAATCTCTATAGGGACAAACCTTATGAACATACTGGAGGTAGAATTTTTCACTGGAATATGTTTTACCATTTATATCTAGATTTGTCCTTTTTTAATTTTGTCATTTGGCTTTCTGTGTTGAACTCAGAAAAGCAAAATGTGCTTACTGTATTCAATGTCTCTGCAAATAAAATGAGAGTTTGTGATACAAGGCCCAGACCCTTAAGTCACAGCAGCGATATGGTAAGTATGAGAAAAAGAAATCATAGGGTAAATACTTCCATGTGGCAGTGCAGCTGTTCCCTAACTAGGAAAAAAAAAAATGGCAGTGAGGAGTTCTGTCCCTTTAAGGTTTTATTCATTCATTCAGTTAGATACAGTGTGCCTGGAGTCAAGATAGCCTGTTGACGCTGACTCTGGAATGTAATGCATGTGTCCCAATCCTGGTCCTGCCAATAAGGACTTGTGTAATTTGGAAAAGTGGCTTATCACTTACCTCAGAGGATTGTTTTGAGGGTTAAATATGGTAAACCAGGAAAAGTGCTTTGCATAGGAACAAACACCCAAGGTTTGGCTGTTACTACAGATGAGAACTGGCAATGGCAGTTGCTATAGAGAATAAGTGCTTAGATTTTCTTTCTTCGTTTCTGTTTTCCCACATTCACACTTTGAGCAACTGACTATCTATAAGTCTGTCTGTTCTAAGAGTAGAAAAAGATGGATTTGTAAATGGACAAAGGGGTTTACACCTTTCAGCAGACTGCCCAGTTGTATGATTTCCTTCAGAACATCAACAAAAATAAAGATTATTCTCAAACACGTTCTTTGTTGAGTTAGGAATTAATAAAATATACAGATGGTACTGCTATGGAGATGAATATGTTAAAGGAAAATAATATTAATGTTAAAAACTCCCACTGAGTTGAAAACATAACTTTCTTAATCAGCATCAGCAATATCAATTTTTACATGAATGTGCGTGGATTGTAAATGCTACTTTTCCAGTTGGGTTCTTTTCTAAAAAAAAGACTTGTTTTGTATATATGGGTCTTTTGCAGAATGAGACCTGTAGGTTGGTAACATACATTCTATATACATATAATTAATATACAAATTATTATTTTTCAGCAAATGTGTGTTTTATTTGAATACCACATGGTTTTGTGCAGTGTTTTTCAGTGCTAGCAGTTTCTTTGAAAACATACAGTCAGATTGGTCTTTATAGTGATGTCCTGGAGCTTTTACAGGCACAGAATTAACTTCTATTTTGCCATTATAAGTAGTAATTTCATAGAAGAGAATTACTTCTGATTTTTATTTCTTAAGGTAAAATACATAGCTTTAACTTATCACCAGGCAGGAGCCTGCTTTTTGTTTTAGATTCTTGTATTATTTTATGATTTCAAACAGCATTTCAGAAGTGTAAAAATTAGCTATTTTAACTGGCTGATGGGCAGGTGAGTGCCTCCTGGTTACTGGTTCGTAAGCCACTGTGCACACTGAGCTTTGTTAAGTCTGGCATTTATACCAGGTTCAGGATATTTGGGTTGTTGTTCACTTTTAAATGAGGTGAATAACTGTGAAACCAACTAGCAAAACTGGAGCAAGTTCAGTTTAAAAGTAAAGAAATAATCACATGTAGGATTTCATGTATTTATTTATTTATTGTTTTTAGAAATAATTAATATGTCTTCCAAAGGCAACTCCACTTAAATCTGGAGAATGTTATTTTTAAAAGAAGGTAGCCTCTTATAAGTTAAATACACCAAAAAGAGCCTCCTAAGAATTTTAAACTTCTGAACACATTGATTCTCTGAGCAGACATTGTATAAGCTGTTTTCAAAGTTGTCAATTTGATGATCTTTTCATCATCCATTTCACCTACGAGGTTTCAGTTGGATTATCTCAGGCATTTACATCAATGGGTGAGAGTAGCAACATGGGAAAAACTTATACAAGTAGATAATCAAAACTCATTTCTATTTGTCATTGAACTGTTTTGTGAAATCATTTTCCTATGTAGAGTCACCTTCCTAATTATAATCTTCTTAAGCTAACATTAACATTGGATTAATATTAGCTATATTCACCCTATATTATACTATAAACGCATTCACCCTACATTATACCATATTATTTGAACACTAGAATAATAGAAAAGTTTGTATAGCTAATGTGGCTTGAAGAATTACTGACTATGTTTTGTTGAAGTTATCAGGTAAATTTGATGTAGTTCTGATTAACTATATGGTTGTTTTGCAGTTATCCAAATGTAGCCCAGAAGCTCCAGCAGGCAGTCCGTTTGAAAACCACTATGAAGAGGACTATCTTGTAATTGATGGGATAAAATTAAAAGCTGGAGAATGTATTGAGAATATAACTAGTACATTTAAAGAAATAGATGCTTTGATGTCTGAGTTTTAGAACATTATACATACTTTTAAAAGTTAATTATAAAAAACTGGCATCTTTATATTTATCCAAAATTAAAACCTTAAAAATGTTTAGGAAATAGATATACATTATACCAAAGTTGATATTTGCAATAACTTTCTACTCATACTTCATATTTTGAGAATGGCCATGATTTTTAGAGTCAAATAGTATTTAGGTTAGTGTTAAAAATTTAGAATTAAGAAACCCTGATATTTGTATTTGTATATTTCTTGTTTGTCTTAATTTTTAAATTGTTTGTGAAATTTGCCTCACAAACACATGCTTTACAATGATTATTTAGGTCCTTTATTCAAAAGTGGCTAACTTAAAGTGGCTGCCAAGCTACTATAATTCTCACAGGTAATTCAAATCTAATAAACATAGTGAATGTGTATTTGTAGTGGAATCAAACTATTCCAAAATAAAAGGAAATAATTTGTTAAATCATTGTTTAATAGAGTTGAAACTTTTCTTAAAAACCAAAAAATGTCACTTGCTACTTATACTGGAAACAGTTATTTCAACCATATTTCCCAAAACTGACTGCTTAATAAGTCTCTGGGAGACTTTAGAAGATCAGAATCCTGGACTCTTCCCTGCTGAGTAAGTATCTTTGGAGGTATCATCTGGAAGATGAGAAAATGTAATTTAAAGTGTATAGAGAGGAGTTAAACATATTCATTATAAGAAATCTAAAAATGTAGAACATAAAAACTATATCATTTTTGAGGGATTCTCATAAACAGTTTTAGTAGATATCCTTCTAGATCTTGCTTTAGGTACACTGAAATGTGTGGGCATTCACACTATCTTTAGTTCCTGCTCTGTCTATCTTTCTCTGGGGACAGAGGGTGGGGAAAAGGGCATTCCAAGCACATAAAAACCAAAGCTTGAGGAGAGAAGAAATGCACAAGAGCATCACCACACTGGTGAATTTTATTGTGAGTTGCCTCATTGCTTTAGCAAGAAGGCAGCACATGTATAAATATTAAAAATAAATAAGACACCAAACAACCAACATACCACTACGGTCTCATTGAGTGGGTTGCTTCTTTTAAGTATTTTTAGATTCTATAATAATCACATAAAGTGGAGAGTGGAGATAGACTCATAACGGTGGAATATTTCATTTGTCAAAGTAAAGTGTGTGTGTATTTCTGTCCTCCATGTTTTCCTCATGTATTCCTTAGCATTTTGATACTGTGTCATAGGATGTTGAGTTGTAAAGCCTATTTGGGTTCATATTTTACCTACTAACTTATCTAAGGCATATAACCAGTAAATAGAAGGGCCAGAGTTGAGTACATTTCTGTCAGGTTCCAGATCTCATGTCATTGATTACCATCTATAATGTCTTGATAAAGCTTTTAACTAGCTGGGTCGTGAAATGATAATCTAGTTTCCTCACATGTAAAATGAGGATGGAACTATGCAAACCAAGCATTGTTGTGAGGAAAAAATGAGATATTTTTTGTGAATGTGGTTTGCAAATCAATTTGCTCTTCTGTTTACGTTTTGCAAAGATAATCAAGTATGTGTTTAAGTATATTGCAATTAATAATTACTAAGATCAAATATAACTATATATTTGAAATGATCACTTTCCTTACTCTTATTTAATCTGCTACTCATCAATATCAGAGTTCTTTTTTCTCTTTTATAAAATTAATCTTTGGAAATTATCACCAGCAACATTATGATCTTCTGTCTTTTAAGGTACATCTCACTGTTGAGCTTTAGAAATGGCTTTAAATAACTTTGCTTTCTTAACAGACATTCAGTTAAAAAGGGAAAGGCGGGGGGAGTCTTCGTTTTGATGAGTAGTGGCTGGTTTATGTGTCATTTTGGATGCTTTTCAGCAAATGCCCAAATGCCTTTTGCAAGAAAGCCATGTTATTTTTAAGGATGTGTTCCTGCAGCAAGTTGGAATTTGGTCCTAGGCTCAAAATAACTTTTGAAAACCAGGAAGCTCACCAAAATATTTGATCAGTACTAGTCTCCTTTATTGTTGACAATTCCTTATTATCACATGTACTTCCATAAATTTTAAATTTTATGAAATGAACTTTTTGCAATTTTCAAAGGAAAAGGAGGAGTCAGGAGAGAAATATAAATGTGACTATGTCCCTCTCTTCTGGAGCTTACAGTCTAGTGATGGAAGAATGCAAACAAGCATAAATGTTCCTCAAAGC